CCGAGCTCGAGTTTCCAAAGTCGACAAGTGGATGTTGAGGCAAGAAGAAGCGGTAGGACATTGCGAAAGTGCCAGAAATACCTAATAAAATCGATGTGCTCTTTTGAGGATTTAGAGCAGGTTTAGTTGGTTGGTTGGGGGTGGGGCTTACTACGGCTTACTACGACTATCGCTGCCTCTGCTGCTGCCGCTACTGCTGCTGCTGCTGCTGCTGCTGCTGCTGCTGCTGCTGCTGCTGCTGCTGCTACCACTACCACTACCGCTACCACTACCACTACCACTACCACTACCACTACCACTAGTACTACTACTACTACTACTACTACTACTACTACTACTACTACTACTAGTATTACTACTAGTACTACTACTACTACTACTACTACTACTACTACTACTACGACGACTATGATTATTATTACTACTACTACTACTTCTACTACTACTTCTGGTGCTACTACTACTACTGCTACTACTACTACTACTACTACTACTACTACTACTACTACTACCTACTACTACCTACTACTACCTACTACTACCTACTACTACCTACTACTACCTACTACTATTACCACCACCACCACCACTACTACTACTACGACGACGACGATAACTACGCCGCAGACGACGACTGCGACTTTCTTCGACTGGAGTTGCGACCACGCCTACTGCTACTGCTACTGCTACTACCACTGCTACTGCCACTGCTGCTGCCACAACTAGTGCTACTACGCGACTACTCCCCCTCCTCTTCCTCGTGCTGCTACTTTCTGCTACGACGACCACCACCATCACCACCACCACCTCAACTACCACCACCACTACTGCCGCTGCTCCTCGCAGCGGTAGCAGCATCATCGTAATTCCCTCACTATCACCGAGCAGAGCAGCACAGGCGGGAGCTCTTCGAAGGCATCGTTTCCAGCATGGGGCGTACAGCAAGCATAGAACATCATTGAAGAAGACCTGTGACGAGGCGTCCTTTTGTTGCAGGGTTCAGGGTCTTGCGGTGCGAGTGCCTCTGCAGACTCGGAGTCGTGATGTGCCGGTGACTTGGGCAAGCATGATACAAAGCTGCTAGAGTTACTAGATGTCTGGCCACAGCTGTAGCTTGGCTGCTTTATGCTGCTACACTGGGAAACCTTGTTTCTGAAGCCTTTCTTCTGCAAAGCTGAACCTTCCAGATGCACGCACGTGTCCTACCCCGCAATGGACATCTCAAGCAGACATAAGCTGCTGACTCCGATGCCAAACTAAGGCTGATAAACAACCGTGCTGGACAAGATCGGCCTTTATGACAAATCGCATCTGCGACACACAGCGAAACCCCGCGCGCCAGAGATATAGAGGGAGAGAGAGAGAGAGAGACACGCACACACACACATTGCCACATGGAGTGGGGGAGGGAGGGCGGGAGGGAGGGAGGGTGATGACAATGATGATGATGATGATGATGATGATAATGATGTTGATGCTGATGGCGACGATGGTGATGATGATGATGCTGATGATGATGATGGTGATGATGCTGATGATGATGATGGTGATGATGCTGATGATGATGATGATGATGATGATGATGGCGGTGGTGATGATTGTGATTGTGATGGTGATGATGATGGTGATGGCGATGGCAATAGCGATGGCGATGGCGATGGCGATGGCGATGCTGATGCTGATGCTGATGTTGTTGATGATAATGGTGATGAGATGAAGGAGGAGGAGGAGGAGCAGAGGAGAAGAAAGAAAAGGAGGAGGAGGAGGAGGAGGAGGATGTGGATGCGGATGCGATGCGGATGCGAATGAGGACTAGGATGAGGATGAGGATGCGAATGGGATGCGGAAGCGGATACAGAAGATGATGGTGATGATGATGATGGTGGTATGGCCATGATGATTGTGATGGTGATGATGATGATGATGGATGATGATGATGATGTTGATGATGATGATGGTGGTGATGATGATGATGATGCTGATGATGATGAAGATGATGATGATGATGATGATGGTGGTGATGGTGATGATGATGATGGATGATGATGATGATGCTGATGATGAGGGTGATGATGGTGATGATGATGATGATGACGGTGATGATGATGATGATGATGATGGTGATGATGCTGATGATGATGATGACGATGATGATGGTAGAACACTTGGTCGTAATTTTTTCGCTTAGATGCAACTTGTCAGCTTTTTCAGCAAAAATGACTTTGTTGTAACTTTTTTGGGGCTCCGAAAACAGCAAATCTCTGCAGATGGTTGCAAAACAGGCAGCTTCGTTATGACTGTTTTGGTGTCTCCAGCACCAAGCCTCTAACTTCTTATGGCGTCTCTGACATGCATGTCAACCCATAAGACTCTGCGTGAGCTGTCGGACC